GCAAAGATGCTCACTAACAGCAGTGATGCTCACTAACAGCGGTGACTGCTCACTAACAGCAAGGATGCTCCTTAATAGCAGTGGCACTCACTAACAGCAATGATGCTCCCTAACAGCAGTGACGCTCACTAACAGCAGTGACGCTCATTGCAGCGTGTAGTGTCTTGGCACTAACAGCAGTGACTGCTCATTGCAGCGTGTAGTGTCTTGGCACTAACAGCAGTGACGCTCATTGCAGCATGTAGTGTCTTGGCACTAACAGCAGTGACGGCTCATTGCAGCACGTAGTGTCTTGGCACTAACAGCAGTGACGCTCACTAACAGAAGTGACGCTGACTAACAGCAATAATGCTCACTAACAGCAATGACACTCACTTACAGCAAAGATGCTCACTAACAGCAGTGATGCTCCACTAACAGCAGTGACTGCTCACTAACAGCAGTGACGCTCATTGCAATGTGTAGTGTCTTGGCACTAACAGCAGTGACGCTCACTAAGAGCAAGGATGCTCATTAACAGCAGTGGCACTCACTAACAGCAATGATGCTCCCTAACAGCAGTGACGCTCACTAACAGCAGTGACGCTCATTGCAGCGTGTAGTGTCTTGGCACTAGCAGCAGTGACTGCTCATTGCAGCGTGTAGTGTCTTGGCAATAACAGCAGTGACGCTCATTGCAGCATGTAGTGTCTTGGCACTAACAGCAGTGACGGCTCATTGCAGCATGTAGTGTCTTGGCACTAACAACAGTGACGCTCACTAACAGCAGTGACTACTCACTAACAGCAGTGACACTCACTAACAGCAATGACGCTCACTAACAGCAGTGACACTCACTAACAGAAGTGACTGCTCACTAACAGCAGTAACTGCTCACTAACAGCAGTGACACTCATTGCAATGTGTAGTGTCTTGGCACTAACAGCAGTGACGCTCACTAACAGCAGTGACTGCTCTTTGCAGCGTGTAGTGTCTTAGCACTAACAGCAGTGACGCTCACTAACAGCAGTGACACTCACTAACAGAAGTGACTGCTCATTAACAGCTGTGACACTCACTAACAGCAGTGACGCTCACTAACAGCTGTGACACTCACTAACAGAAGTGATGCTGACTAACAGCAATGATGCTCACTTACAGCAATGACGCTCACTAACAGCAGTGACGCTCACTAACAGCAATGACGCTCACTAACAGCCGTGACGCTCACTAACACCTGTGACACTCACTAACACCTGTGACGCTCACTAACACCTGTGACACTCACTAACAGAAGTGACGCTCACTAACAGCAGTGACACTCACTAACAGCAGTGACTGCTCATACCAGCGCGTAGTGTCGTGGCACTAACAATCAGTGACAGGATTTGAAACAAGCCCATAGTGGCGTGAGATATTTTTTCTGGAGAATGACTAATTCAAAACGCTGCCCAAATCTATAACCTGGAAAAGAAACATAATATAATTATCATACAGGTTAAAAAAAAGACAGATTTCAATAAAATTGCCCTTTTCAAATAAATCCTTGTATGTAAAATGTGGGTTTATTTTCTCAACATTAAACTATTTTTATTTGCGTGTTGCGAACACAGCGAGACTAAAGGTGTTTTGTAGAATGAGGAGACGTTAAAAGAATTTTCTTCACACAGCTCTGTTCTTAATGGAGTACCGGTAATAGCTGAGCTCAGGGGAAACTGAACTCAAACAATTAGTGTTAATTATGATCAGATACAGGCCCTTCTTCGAGGTAGATAAAACTGCCTCAGGTTCTGTTTTTTTGTTACCACTTAGAGTATAAATAGCCACAGTACAAGGGGCTCCTAGGAAAGCCTTGACATTGAGGGGGATGGCGTTATTTTAGGCAATGCTTCCGTTAAAACCAGATATCTGTATATCGGCTGATGGGGGAGATTTATTAACTTGAATTTAATAAAGATATCATTAGAAGCAGAATTATTAAAACAAAAACAAAAAAAAACAAAGGATGTCGGAAACTGATTTTAAGACTATGCTTTGCTTGTTACGTGTAATTTGGTGAAAAAGCCTATTTATTGAAGTTAATAATGTCCCAGAAAATTTCATGGAAATAGCTAAGTTCACTGTGTGGAGTTTTCTCATTAACACTGAAGTGAAGTATAAATCAAATTCAGGCCAGAATATCTGAGCTGGAAGTATTCTCCAAATCTTCCCAGCTTGACTATTTTAGTCTGAATGTTATATTCTGGTGTTCATGTCACTACAAATCACTGGTAATTGAATAAACCCCACGTTACGTCTCGATTCCTTCTACCAGCTTGTGTGAACTTGTTTTTTCCCACACTCATAATAGATTAAAAATAAAAAGCTCCCAGCCCTTTATGAAATTGTTCTGTTCTATGTTTTATTTAAAAATAGATTTTGCATAAGGAACCATATGGATTTCACAACCTTTTACAGAGATACAATTAGCAGAGGCACAATTTACGGATCTCGTTACAAAATTTGACTTTATTCTCGTTCACCACCCAATACCTGTTTGGTGACTTTTAATGAACTACTTAAAAACTACAATGTATCATAAAACAGAAAAATGAAAGGTCTGTGCACCTACTTCAAAATACAAGAATTGTTTCCCAAAAATCATTAGTAATAAATATAGTTGAGCGGACACCTGGATGTTCGGGTCCCTTGGGTTCGGCCGAACTTTGAAAAAAAGTCTGGGTTCGGATCGAACTTGACCCTGATTTTGACCCCGAACCCCATTGAAGTCAATGGGGACCCAAACTTTTGGGCACAACAATGCCTCTAAAAAAAGTCCTGGAAAGGGCTTGAGGGCTGCAAAAATGGGGGTAAGAGTAGGACAAGTGCCCTGCAAACAAATGTGAATAGGGAAATCACTTAAAATAACAAAAAAAAATTAAAAATACAGCTGAGCCATAAAATAGCACTAGATGGAATCTTTGATTTTAGCTTTGGAAGAACATAAATCATAATCTAAAGCATGGCTGTCAGGAGGATCACCAGAATTATCCATTTGAGAGAGGGTTGGAGTGCAGGGTATTCTCTTTCATTGTTCAAACTAAGCTCAACTCCTGATGCATGGAGAAAAGGCCTTCACAAGCCTCTGCTATTGTGTACATAGTTTATACTAAGTGACCCATAGGTTGAAGAGGCGGTGACCGTGGCGGTGTAGGTGGAAGCGGCGGTGGAGGAGGAGGAGGATGAGGTAGCCAACACTATTTATATATATATGTATATATTTTTTTTAATTTTAATTGGGGTAGCCCCCAAAATATTGGGACATATAAAAAACTAAACATTTGCGGCCTGCGGTGCATTTCTTGCAGTCCTGATGCATGGAGAAATGCTCAACTCCTGATGCATGGAGAAAAGGCCTTCACAAGCCTCTGCTATTGTGTACGTAGTTTATACTAAGTGACCCATAGGTTGAAGAGGCGCTGAGGCGGTGACCGTGGCGGTGTAGGTGGAAGCAGCGGTGGAGGAGGAGGAGGTAGCCAACACTGTTTTTCATATATATATATATATTTTTTTTAATTGGGATAGCCCCCCAAATATTGGGACATATAAAGAAAGAAAACTCTGTTCCGCAGAGTGACTGACCCGTGTGTGCTGCAGCTGAAACTCCACTATCGCCAGCTGCTGCTCACACAGTCTCATGAGGCGATGAGCGGGAAGGCCAAAGTTACGCTGCAGCGCAGACAGGCGAGCAGCAGCAGGGTGAGAACGGCAAAAGCGCGCACAGACAGCCCGCACTTTCTGCAGCAGCTCTGATATATCTGGGTAGTTTTCAGGAATTTCTGCACCACCAAATTCAGCACATGCGCCAGGCATGGGATGTGCGTCAAACTGACTAGGCCCAGAGCTGCTACGAGATTTCGCCCATTATCGCACACCACCAGGCTGGGCTTGAGGCTCAGTGGCAACAACCACTTATCGGTCTGTTGTTCCATGCCCGTCCAGAGCTCCTCCGCGGTGTGGGGTTTTCCCCCCAAACATATGAGTTTGAAAACAGCCTGCTGTCGTTTCCCCCTGGCTGTGCTGAAGTTGGTGGTGAAGGTGTTACACTGACTGGATGAAGAGGTGGTAGAGGAGGAGGAGGAAAAAGCTGAGTAGGAGGAGGAAGCAACAGGAGGCAAAGCTGTGTACCCAAACAAAGATTGTCAAACGTTGTATCCTGGAACTGTGTCCCATCCGGTTACTGGGGAAATGGGTCTGACCTATTCTAATCAAAGGGGATAACCATCGGTTACCCAGGTCCCGCTTCAATTGGTGGCAAGCGGTGGGATCCCATGTCCCTGCCAACACACCCATGGACTACAGTGTTCTAAAGCGACCTACACTGCAGGACTTGTGTGGAGCCAGAGGAATAACGCCTGGTGGGCGTAACAAGGCTGAATTGACTGCTGCGCTCATGAACGACGACCAGGAATGCAGTGAGGCAACAAACCCCAGCCAGGAGGCGGAGATGAGGAGGAAGTGCGCAAGGAGGTGTAATGGCGCCTGGCATATTACCGAGAGCCACCCTCAGAGGAGATTGTCAGCAGGACCTTTTTGGAGGTGCAAGCCTATGTCCTTGCCAATAGACAGAGGGCGACCTCCATGAACCCAGATGAAGGAAGAAGGGAGAAGAGGGCGCCGGGAAGCACAACCACCCTGGCCCACAAGCTACCATACAATGCCTTCAAAGACATCAAGGAAGCAGAAGAAGGCATCGATGACTTTTTACAAGACTTTGAGCGCCAGTGCCTACTCTAAGACGTGGACCTCAGCGACTGGGTCACCATCCTGGCCAGGAAACTAGTGGGGAAGGCAGCGGATATTTACCGGGCTGTACCAGAAGATCAGATCAGAGACTATCCCTTTATTACCCAAATCCTCCTGCCCCGGTATGCGGTCACCCCCGAGCAATACCGCCGAAAGTTTAGGGAGACCCGGAAAGGGGACAATGACTCCCATGTGGAGTGGGCATGCCGCATCACAAGGGCCACCCAGAACTGGCTCAACTCCCATCATGCCAAGTTCCCAGAGGAGATCACCCAGCTCATCACGCTAGAGCACTTTTACAAGGGGCTCCCCGAAGACAAGGTGACGACGCATTCGTATGTCATCCATATCAACTTTTGATGCCACTTTCTGCACCTACCATGGTGACCACGGGTAACGGGGAATCAGGGTTCGATTCTGGAGAGGGAGCCTGAGAAACGGCTACCACATACAAGGAAGGCAGCAGGCAGGCAAATGACCCACTCCCGACGCGGGAAGGTTGTGACAACAACTAATACTGGACTCTTTAGAGGCCCTGTAATTGTAATGAGTCTACTTGAAATCCTTTAACTCTGATCAATTGGAGGGCAAGTCTGGTGCAGAGTGACTGACCTGTGCGTGCTGCAGATGAAACTCCACTATCGCCTGCTGCTGCTCGCACAGTCTCTCCAGCATGTGCAAGGTGGAGTTCCACCTTGTGGGCACGTCGCATATGAGGTGGTGAGCGGGTAGGCCAAAGTTACGCTGCAGCGCAGACAGGCGAGCAGGGTGAGAATGCCAAAAGCATGCACAGCCGCTACAATGAATGTCACATCCTGTTCCAAGTTGCGGATCAGTCTGGTGATGGCTTCTGGTATCCAGTACTCTTTTTACTGAAGCTGCATCAGGATCCTGGTTTGTGGTCGCACAAACGCTGGTGCTCAACACCAGGGGGCGTGTGGTTACCCTGCACCAGACCCTGCTAATCCATTCCACACTGTGACTCCTAACTTCAACATCAGGGATACTGGGTCCCGGTCGTCCGACCGCCGCCCAGACAGTAGGCATGTGCAAAATTTTCGGTTCGGTTTGGCATTCTGAAATTTGGGACTTTCGCAATTCGGGACTTCCAAAATTCGGCACTTCAACACTTCGACACTGGAAATTCGTCAACTTCGACACTTAGGAACTTCGGAATTTCAGAACTTCGGCATTCTGGAATTTCGGGACTTCTCTTGCAGCCACTTAGTAGATAACTCCCTAATTTCCACAGTATTAGGGAGTTATCTACCAAAAGGCTGAAAGACCTAAATTGGTATTTCAGCCAAATTTACTAATACTGAGTAAAAATTACTTAGTATTAGTAAATTTTGCCCCTACTCGCTATACCCCGAGTAGGGACATGTCTATTAAACAGTGAGCAGCCCGCAGATGGTCCTCCCCCCGGCCCCCACCCCTGAGTGGCGGGTGGGGGCCCTACAGTAAAATAAGGGGGGGGACCTAATGTCCTCCCCCCGGCCCCCACCCCTGAGCATTGGGTGGGGGTTCTAAATACTTATAAGGTGGGAACCTAATGTCCTCCCCCCTGGCCCCCACCCCTGAGCGGTGGGTGGGGGCCTTAAATTGGAATAATGGGGGGACCTATTGTCCTCCCCCGGCCCCCACCCCGGAGCGATGGGTGGGGGTCCTAAATACTTATAAGGGGGGGACCTAATGTCCTCCCCCCTGGCCCCCAGCCCTGAGCGGTGGGTGGGGACTCTACAGTAAAATAAGGGGGGGACCTAATGTCCTCCCCCTTACCCCCACCCCTGAGCGGCGGGTGGGGGACCTAAATACTAATAAGGGGGGGGACCTAATGTCCTCCCGCTGGCCCCCACACCTGAGCGGTGGGTGGGGGCCCTTAATACTAAAAAGGGGGGAACCTAATGTCCTCCCCCCTGGCCCCCACCCCTGAGCGGCGGGTGGGGGCCCTAAATTGGAATAAGGGGGGGACCTAATGTCCTCCCCCTGACCCCCACCCCTGAGCGGCGGGTGGGGGCCGTAAATACTAATAAGGGGGGGACCTAAGGTCCTCCCCCTGGCCCCCACCCCTGAGCGGTGGGTGGGGGCCCTACAGTAAAATAAGGGGGGGACCTAATGTCCTCCCCCTTGCCCCCACCCCTGAGCGGTGGGTGGGGGACCTAAATACTAATAAGGGGGGGGACCTAAGGTCCTCCCCCCTGACCCCCACCCCTGAGCGGTGGGTGGGGGCCCTAAATACTAATAAGGGGGGGACCTAATGTCCTCCCTCCTGGCCCCCATCCCTGAGTACTTACCATTAATAGGCATGGCTGGGATGGCTTCTAAGGGCACACGAGTCAAACGCTTGTTGATCGGCTTCCTTTCAAAACACGCCATTAAATCGCCGAATACCGAACTCCAACCCGAACATACAGTAATATGTCCGTGTTCGGGTCCGGGGTCCAAAAAACTTAATGTTCGGGTTCGCTCAGCTCTAGTAATAAACTGTCTCTTCTCACCTTATTTGTAAACGTGTAAATACAAACTCGGTAATTACATAGTAAGGAAGGTAGAATCAGTCGCACATTATATATAGGTTATTCCACTGGTAACATTTTATGTTGTCGCACTTTAAAAACATCACGCCATGTTTATAAAATTGTAATATAGAATAGGTGCATTAATGAGAAAAAAGACCAAAATATATCTAAAATTACCATTTATTATCACACACTTAGTAATTAGAGCAAGATCCCACTCATGCCATCCACTGCCTGCTCCAGCCAGAGAGAACGTTCCTCTCCCTGACAGCCTGCAATCTCTGTGATAAAACTAATGTTCTGTTGTTCTATTCTCGTATTGATTTGTCTACCAACTTGCTTTTCCTTGGCAGCTTTATGACAAAAGGCTTAAGACACCGATGTCCATCAAAAAGGCTCCTGCAGATGATGATGTGATAATGGCGTTCTCTGATGGAGAATTCTCCCAATCTGTTGATGTAATATAAAGAAATGGATTAATGTAAATAACCGTTAGCCCTGTGAGTGATATGCCTACCAGAGGCGGCCACGAGGATTCCTGATACCCGATCATGGCAGCTGGCACTGTGTGGATTGTACAGAGGAGGTAAGTATCTCTTTACTTCCATTCATTAATATTTCACCTTAGGAGACACCACAGTAATGTTTCCTGGGATTGAAAAGGCCTTCCCCCGGAGCCCTGATCTATGGGGAGGGGGAAATAATGACTGCTGCCATTGTGGTAGTAGATAAATGGAGGAAACCGCACTCACCAGGCAACCAAAGGTGCACCACATCCAAGGTCGGCCAGAACCCAAGTAGATATATGAAATAAAGTATTGGTCAAGGCACTCAAGGTAATGGTCAAAAGGTAGCTTTATTGGAGCACAAACAGCAACATTTCGACCCTATGGGTCTTTATCAAGCTTGTGTGCCTAGACCAGGGATGGGCAACCTTCGGCACTCCAGATGTTGTGGACTACATCCCCCATAATGCTGGCAAAGCATCATGGGAGGTGTAGTCCAAAACATTTGGAGTGCCGAAGGTTGGCTATGCCTGGCCTAGACCAATACTTTATTTCATATAAATGCGGATGTTGTGGTAGTCATGTTGGCCAATATGTATACAATGTTGGAGACCCTACCTGAAGTGGTATGGTATTGGACTAGAAAACCTCTTCAAATCATTTTTCCAACTTCAGGTGTTAAGTTAACCAGTCTGTATTTTCTTTGCTGAAGTTAGATCCCTCTTTAAAGCTTCCATGTCTGCTTTAGCCGATCCTTTGGTATAATTCTTGCCCTTGAAGACTGAAAATAGGGGCTTCTAATCTAAGCTCCCTGATTACTTGTGGATGAAGTTCATCTGGACCTGGATCTTCATTTAAAATGGCACTGTATTCTGTTATTGAGTCACGTGTTTGCAGCAGTGGTTTCAATATGCTCGTCCATTGCTTCTTTGTGATATGAAACTTTCCTTTTTCTGATTCGCAAAATGTAACAAATTCATTTCACATGACAACAGACCAACATTTTCTTCCTTAATCTTTTGGGTTTGTTTTCAATTTCTAGTTAGTTTTTTTCAATGCTGGTGTTTTAAATGCTATATTCTTTTATATATTGCCCGATCCCTCTCAATAAACCACATTTCTTTAATTTCTTTCCATTTGTTTCCCAATAGTTTATTTTGAGAAGATCACTTTTATAACATTGAAAGAAATCATCATTATCTTTTACGGTTTCATCAGATATTAGTTCCTGTCAGTTGATAGGTTGTTACACAGATCCTATTGAAATGTATTTACTTATTTTTTCATGAGTCACATCACATTACCGTCACTACATGACAAACACTCACTTACTTTAATGTTTGAAAAAAGAAATGCATTTCACCAGCTTTTAGATAAGTGTTTGTGTAACTTACCCCTGAGAACGAGTGAACCAACAAGTCAGTTGGTCGGACGCTTATATGGACGATTTATTTTAAAAGCACATTCTATGAACTTTGTTGTTTTGCATTGTTTGTAGTTTATTTTTGTTTCTGTTATATGTCATGTCTCTTGTGTAAATGATAAACTGTCCTACTTTTTTGTCCTGTCTCTGTGCATGTCTGTCTGTAACTGTCAGGATGTTAATTAGCTGCTTCTACTGTCTAACTTGATTGATGGCTGTCTGTATTTGACTTGCACATAGTGAGTTTTGGAAACATGGCGGATGGCTTAAGCTGCAGCCTGCTGGCCAAAAGTAGTGGGAGTTTGAGCGCAGGGCTTAATTTTGTGTTTGATTAATATTCTGGTTGAGCAATAAGAAGCCTCCAAACACGTTTAGAAAATTCTAATAAAAGAACATGTATTTTAATATAATTATATATTGCCCTATGAAGATGCATGCTTTAGAGAAGCTCTCTTAAAAATAAATATACTGTCTTTAAAGTCAGATTTGTCTCTCGATATTTTTAAATGACTTCTGCTTCCTTTGTTTAAAAATACAAAAAAAGAAAAAAAGCAATTTAACTGACTTGTGTTCTGTGGACTGCAGCCGAACACACCTACTGTGAGATCATCAATCTTTGTCCACTCGAACGCTCTGTCTGTCTAATGCTGTCTTACAGCCACTGAAGGAGTGTCTTCAGCCAATTGTAATCATTGTAATTTATTAGAAACTGAAACCTGTTACATTGTCAGAAAAGGGACAGAATCTATACACCAAAATCAGTGCGTACGGTGCAGTGGTTATAGTACTTAGAGTGTCCCTTTATCTTTGAATGAATCTAAATTCCATCATAATTGGAATATATTCATTAATCTGAGACTTAAAAAGTACATTTCAAATTCCAGACCAAAATATCTGTATTGCTCTAACTCTGCTATTGTGATCTAACATTGGAAATACCCTTAGTAATTTGTAACAGTTCACATTTAAGTGAATACATTTTTTTTACAATGTTCTCGGTAATTAAAACTGTAAGTTCTGTGTATATCTGAAATGCATCAGCTGGTGGAAAATGTGC